TCCCACGAGGGTTAGAAAAACTTCCTGAAACGTAAGACTGAGCCTTCCTTCTCCCCCCCAAAAAAAATAAAAATAAAAATAAATAATAACCGCAGAGGGAACCCCTTGATTTCCTCCTCTCCATTCTGGGAACGGACGAGAAGGAGCCTGCAGGAATTAACGAGGGATCCAGAGAGAAAGAATTGCCTTGGACTCTTCCTTCTCTCCCCCATCCTTCGGTTTTCCTTGGCGTCGGCTGACCTAATTTTCCCCGGCCACAGGCTTGGCGAGTCTCTACTCCATGGGGCTGGTTTTGGCCTCCTGGTTGTGGCCCCTGGACAGGATCTCGGCCAGCAGATCCGAAGGCTACGAAGGCGGCGTGGCCGGCAACCCCATCCAAATGTAAGCCTTCCCCCCCCCCACCCCGCCTCCTGCTTCTGTTCTCCCACCAGGCTTTTCCACACACCCCATCCTTCAAAAAAACAAAAAACCCCAAAATCTTATTATTATTATTTTTTTTTCCAACCTTCCAGAAATGGGAGTTTGGTCCTTTCCTTCACTTTGACCCTTAAAAAGAAGAAAAGAGAGGGGGAAAAAAAAAACAGAAATAAGAGTCAAAAGAAATTTGCCATGTTACCCAGGCCTTGCCAAAGAACAACTGGAGCGCCAGATTTTTGGCACGGATTCGGGGAGGGAGGGGCAGGAAAAGACTGGCTAATTTGGCATCGACGGGAATGGCCGACCTCTCGTTTTATGGGGAGGGGGGAATAAAAAAAAATGGGAGGGTTTGGGGTTTCAGCTTCTCTCTCGTTCGAATTTAGGGATTGGAGGGGCCGGGAAAGTGGGCGAAACCGGACTTTGCTTCCGGCGGTCGCTCAACGAGGCTGTCCTCGTTGAGGGACCGGAGTTAGAACAGCGCTGCAAGAAAAAGGGGGGGGGGGGGCTTAAGGCTGGTCGACCAATCACTGATGCTCTGCTTTTCTCCCCCCCTCAAAAAAATAAAAATAAAAATAAAATCCCAGTGCTCACCGGATCATCTTGCTAGTGGAGTCCATCCTCTTCGGCCTCTTCGTCACGGTGATATTTTACGACCAGGTGAGGTTGTAACTTGGGTGGGCGAAGGGGCCTCGTGGCAGAGAACGTCATCGCGCCGAGACCTCCTCAAACCTCCCCCCTCCCACCCCCGTCTGCCTTCCAGGTGGTCTCCATCATCACCGACGAGACCGCCGTGGAGCAGCTGCGCAACCGGCTTCAGAGGGAGGGTCCCCAGGTGGGGAGCCACACACGCAAACCCAAGATTGCCCTCCTGCGTGAGGTCTTCGGCCGAGGTACGCCGGGACGGAGGTCCTTCCTTTCCTTCCTTCTCCTTTTCTCCTTCTCTCCTCCTCCTCCTCTTCCTCCTCCTCCTCTTCTCCTTCTGTTCCCCATCTTCTTCTCCTTTTCTTCTTTCTCTTCCTCTTATTCTCCTTCTCCTGCATCATCTCCTTTTCTTCTTCCTCCTCCTCTTCTTCCTTCTCCATCTCCTCCTCCTCCTCTGCCTTCCTCCTCCACCTGCTCCTTCACCACCTCCTCTCCTTCTCCTCTTCCTCTTTTTTCTTCCTCCTACATCTCTTCTTCTTCCTTCTCCTCCTTCACCTCCTCCTTCTTTTCCTTCCTCTTCCACCTGCTCCTCTTCTCCTGCTCTGTCACCTCCTCCTCCTCTTCTCCTTCTCCTTTTCTCCTCCTCCTTTTCTTCTCCTTTTTTCCTTCCTCCTACACCACCACCTCCTCCTCTTCTCCTTCACCACCTCCTCCTTTTCTCCTTCTTCTTTTCCTTCCTCCTCCTTCTCCTCCATTTGCTCTTCTTCTCTCCTCCTTTTCTTCTTCCTCCTCCTCTTCCTCCTTTTCTTCCTCCTCCTCCTCCTCTTCTCCTTCACCCCCTTCTCCTTTTCTCCTTCTCCTTTTCCTTCCTCCTCCTTCTCCTCCACTTGCTCTTCTTCTCTCCTCCTCTTCTCCTTCTCCTTTTCTCCTCCTCCTTTTCTTTTCCTTTTTTCCTTCCTCCTACACCACCTCCTCCTCCTCTTCTCCTTCTCCTCTTCTCCTTCTCCTTTTCTCCTTCCTCCTCCTTCTCCTCCACTTGCTCTTCTTCTCTCCTCCTTTTCTTCTTCCTCCTCCTCCTCCTCCTCCTTCTCTTCTTTTTTTCTTCCTCCTGCACCTCCTCTTCTCCTGCTCCTTCACCACCTCCTCCTCTTCCTCTTCCACGCTTGGGTGTCGAGGGAGGTACCAAATCTTTGCCGTCCCCCACAAAAATAATAATAATAATCCCTCTTCCTCTCTTCTCCTGCCCAGGTTTGGTCATCTGCTGGTTTTTCCCCTGCAACTTCACCTCTCCATCCACCAGCGGGCCGTCTTACAGCTACCTGCCCAACTACGACGTCTGACCTCCTCCTGGCCCGCCCCTCTCCGCTCGCTTCTCTTTCTCTCTTGGGGGGGGGGGAGGAGAGGCACGCCTCTCCCCCCCAATTCATCGGCTGCAGCAAAAGAAGGCGACCCCCAGACGAGGTGACCCCTAAAGCTGGAACGGCTCGCTCAAAAGGCCTAAAAAGGGCCGCGGCCGACTGGCCGGCCTATGAATCCCGGCACCCTCTTACCTCTTCTTTCGGACTCCTGGCCCATGGTGCACACTTCTCCAATCAGCGCCCCCGTGCTTATAGCTGGCTCTGAAGGAAAAAATTTTTGGGGGGGAGGGGGAATGGACAGCTTGGACCATGAAACAGAAATGGGACGTGTGACCCATAAGCTCTCCCGAGAGGCCAGATCGCCCGACATCCAAGAGCTAAAAAGCCGGAATCGTTCGAGCCATTGGCGGATCCATCGATTACTCGTCATCGTGAACCTTCTCTTACCAAGGCAGGTGACCGACAGGTAGGGAAGGCCCCAAATTTACATCCCTTTCGAGCTTGCCCTGCCCACCCCAGCCCGCTTCAATAAGAGAGATGGACAACAACTCCCAGAATTCCCCCAGCCAGATGGCTTTCGTGCCTAAGGCGGGACTAGAACTCCCAGTCTCCTGGTCATTGGCCCAAAGTCACTCAGCTGGCTTTCATGTCTAAGGCGGGACTAGAATTTCCAGTCTCCTGGTGATTGGCCCAAAGTCACCCAGCTGTCTTTCATGCCTAAGGCGGGACTAGAACTCCCAGTCTCCTGGTGATTGGCCCAAAGTCACCCAGTCGGCTTTCGTGCCTAAGGCGGGACTAGAACTCCCAGTCTCCTCCACTTACGACCACAGTTGGTAGCCAGGTGTTTTTCCGTCGCCGAGAGCCAGGCGCTCATTCGGCAATGCGCAGCCGATGTGACGAACTTTATTAATAATTTTTTTTTAAGAGGATCGCTGCGGTCGCTAAGCCAAATCGCACCGTCCTTAAGCGAATCCGGATTCGCTCGTCGGAAGCCGGCTGGGATGGCCACAAAGGATGAATCCTGTGGCCCCAGGGACCCTTGGAACTGTCATAAATACGAGTGTCCAAATTTGATCCTGGAACCAGGGAGACCAGCCATGACCAGCAATTCTTGGCCATAACTTCCCTTTTTAATTCCGGTCCCGTCGTAACTTAGGTCACTCAACGGACGGTTGTAAGCGAAGGACCTGCTGTATTTAAATCTCCCTCTCTAGCCTCTGCGGGAGGTACAACTCTATCCCCCCCCCCCTTTGTTCCTGAAACAGCCAGGTCAGTCCCGAAAAACAGCCCCCACCCCCAACGCCTTCCCAAACACACCAACACAGCGTCCCTCTTTCTTACACCTGGTGAGTGTGACCCCTTTTTGCTTTGTAAGCCCCTCTCCCCATTTCCAGCTCCTTTCGAGTCCTGGGTTCAGATCTTACCTATCTCACCCAAGAGACCCTTGGTTAAAGGTGTTCATTTTTTACCTGCTCCTCCCCATTTCACAGCGATGAGCGGCGAAACACATTCGCCGCCCTAATTTTTCCAATGCTGGGGGGGGGGTGAGGGGGGCAGAATGTTCCCCCCGCCTCGACCTCGTCCCTCCTGCACAAAACAAGGGGTGGGATTCATTTCCTTCCTTTACCCAGAATTGTCTCTCCTGCCTCCTCCTCCAAACTCATCCCCCGGGGGCCCCTGTTTACCTGTAAATAGACTTATTTATTCACTTTATTTATTGAGGCTGCCTCACTGGCAGCTTAACAGACAAACAGGTAGCAGCGGTCCGTCAGCGGATGAGTTTGAAATCAAGCGTGCCCCGGAACGAATCTCACAGTCACCGCTCAAATCGGGCGACAGCTGGCTCTTCCTTCCCTCTTTTTGGATCCCTGGCATTGTTAGAAGCTGGGATCTGCTCTAGCTAGATTGGCGTTTCTCAACCTTGGCCACTTTAAGATGGGTGGACTTCAACTCCCAGAATCCCCCAGTCAGAA